GTGAACGTCATCGTCTTCTCGGTGCCAGGCAGGGAGATCCCCCGGCGGCAGCTCCAGTTGGTGCATGAAGTTGGATACGTCGCCTCTGTCGCGCAGCACCGCTGTCTTCCCGTTCTTTTTGGCAATCAAGCTGAAGGGATATCCCCACCGGTAGGTGACATTGGCGGATACCAGTACATCCAGCAGGGGCGCAGGGCTTTTCTCATGGCTAGGGTGCGTCTGGAGAGGTCTGGGAACAGGGATACGTTAGCCCCATCAAAGCCCACGTTAGCCCGAGAACGCATGCGGTGCATAATGGATTCCTTCTCTGAGTACTTATGTAGTTTACAGATGACATCTCTGGGCTTTTCCGGATCTTGATTAGGCGGGGGAAGGGCTCTGTGAACTCTGTCTATTTCAATGTGCATGGAGACAGACCTAGCCAGAATTTGATTGAAAATACCCGTCACCGTGGGCAGGAGGTCTTGGGGCCAAGTTGCCTCCGGTAATCCCCTTAAATGTATATTAGAGCGACGGCTCCTGTTTTCAAAGTCATCTAATTGGTTTGATAAGTCTGCAATAACAGGGTGTCAAGGATACCGGCTCAGGTGACCCCACACCTGCGCAGGTACCTACACAGGCAGACCAAACACTTATGACCACACCGGACAGGGCAGAATGTATTATATACAGTTTAATAAACAGCAAAACTAAACAACACCCAAAAGCAGACATAAATAAGTAACATCAACAAGACTACAAGCAGGTAATGGCAACAGGAGGAAAGGCAGGTAATGGCAACAGGAGGTATCTAGGACTGCAAATGGTAACCGGGCTCGGGACACAAACAGGGTACAGGACTGGCAACAGGACTCTGGACGGAAAGCAGGGTTCACCAGAACTGGCGACAGAACTGGGGACTCAGGATTCACAGACAACAATCAGGGTTCAAGTTTCAGGAAACAGGAAACAATACTGAGCCACAGACCTTACTGCAGGGAGGGCTTAAGTAACCTCCCAGGGAGCACAAGGTGGTGGATGATTGGTGGCAGCTGGGAGACACCTGCAGGTGAGCACTGGAGTTGCAGTTTACAGCACCACCCAGTGGAGGTCTGGTACCTAGCAGTTCCTGGCTGCCTGGAGACCCCTGCAGGTGACTATGGAAACTGTAGGGCTTAGCTCCAGCGCCACCTGGAGGCGCTCCGGATCCTGACAGTACCCCCCTCTCAAGGAGCGGACTCCGGATGCTCCCACAAAGTCCATCCGCATCCTCAAAGTCCAAGGGCACGGAAGGCCGCCAAGTCCACCATTTGCCCCAGGGCCAAAGTTCAGGGACCGGCCGAGCACCCACCCCGCCATGGTCAGGCATCAGGCCGAGCAGTCCACCACCTGGATCCGGAAGAAGTCTCCATAGGCCAGCAGAAGACCCAACAGAAAGGCGATGGGTACCAAGGTTCCGTAAGGCACACCCCCCAGCACTAAGGAGCCTGGGTTTCAGCGGGCAGCCAGCCACCCGGATACCCCCAAAGCTGTGGCCACCCGACCCAGGTCACCACATACTTCAGGGAACGCAGCGAGACCCTTTGGAAGCAAGGGGTGCTCAAATGGAACTCCCCCGTTCCCCAGGATAACACCACTACCAGGCCCGGGCTTGCGCACATGATCACCCCACGTGCGGTGGATGTCCCGATCCCCAGGTCCCTTGGCTGCAAGGGGCATCACCTCCGCACCAGGACCAGAAGCAAAGAGC